AGTTTTTCAAACCGGGAACAAAAAGTTGCAAAGGCCAGAAGCTCAGAAAGCGCACATAAAATGTGTATACTGCAAAAAGTCTCATTAAAATTTTATTTTGCATTCGCAGTGCGCTTCCTTATTTTACCTCCTATTCTTCTTTATGATGTGTGACGCCGAAAAGCGAAGCCGAAAATGCAGGACGCACAACGTACATGAACGCAACGGAAGTGGATAAAATTTAAGTCCAAGAAATCTGAGCAGGATGTGCTAATACCGCAGAAGCACTCTGCGTTTTGTGTGTTTCTGTTGATGGGAGAATATATTGGCAGTAATGGAAGTGATCCAGAATTGATGCCGAAGAAAGGGGTCTGCGAAGGCCTGTTTGCTTACGTAATCCGCAGGGTTCTTATGCGCCTAATTTAACCCAAGTCAAAGCGATTTTCAGTAAAACCGGAGGAAGAAAAATAAATAATTGGCCAACGCACGGGCTGCCCGTGCGAAGATGCGTTTTTTGCATGGTTCCCCGCAGTTTTCGTTGCTACCGGCACCGGTTTTTTCGGCAAATGCTTCTAGCTAGACAAATTAAGACTGGCCGCCAGAACTGTCAGAAAATATTCCCTTAAAATTTCAGCTTTCTAGCTTCCCTGGCACCTGAGTTAGCAACTTACTGGAACAAAATTTTCACGGGATGTGCATTTTTACCAAGCATACCTGAGAGCTGGGTTCGAGCTGAATGAAACTTAGATGAACGGGGTATATCCTCTTAAAATCACATTCCTTTGGCTTCTCAGGTACTTGAGTTATCAATTTGCACGAAAAAGATTTTGGTGGGCTCGTACGCGGGTACCACGCTTACCCGGGGGGCTGGGTTTGGGCCTAGCAGTACCCGCTTGGGCGGGGAACACTACCCCAAGTTTTCAGCCTTCTAGCTTCTCAGGACTTCGAGTTATGAGTTTACGCGGGAAAAATTTTGGGGGGCTCGTACGCGGGTACCACGCTTACCTGGGGGCTGGATTTGAGCTGATTAGCACCTGTTTGGACGGGGAACATTCCCCTAAAATTTCAGCTTTCTAGCATCTCAGAACCCCGCTTGGACGGGGAACATTCCCCTAAAATTTCAGCTTTCTAGCATCTCAGAACCCCGAGTTATGAATTCTTAGACGGGGAACGTTCCCCTAAAATTCCAGCTTTCTAGCATCTCAGAACCCCGAGTTATGAATTTGCGGCGGGGAACATTCCCCTAAAATTTCAGCTTTCTAGCACCTCAGAACCCCGAGTTATGAATTTGCGCGCGGGGAACATTCCCCTAAAATTTCAGCTTTCTAGCACCTCAGAACCCCGTACTATGAATTTGCGCGGGAGAAACGTTCCCCTAAAATTTCAGCTTTCTAGCATCTCAGAACCCCGAGTTATGAATTTGCGCGGGAAATTTTGGGTGGCCCATACGCGGGTACCACGCCTACCCGGGGGCTGGGTTTGAGCCCATTAGCATTTGCCCCTAAAATTTCAGCTTTCCAGCATCTCAGAACCCCGAGTTATGAATTTGCGCGGGAAAAATTTTTACCCTAAAATTTCAGCCTTCTAGCTAGGGGTCCGTACGCTGGTACCACGCCTATCCGGGGGCTGGATTTGAACCCACTAATAGCCGCTTGGGCCCCGTACGCGGGTACTACGCTTACCCGGGGGCTGGATTGGAGCAGATTAGCACCTGATTGGACGGGGAACATTCCCCTAAAATTTCAGCTTTCTAGCTTTTCAGGTACCCGAGTTATGAACTTACGTGGGAAGAATTTGGGGGGGGGGCCGTACACGGGTGTCACGCGGGGTATGGCGCCAATTTTAGGGATTGGGGCCCATACGTGCATGTAAATTAAGTCCCCAAAGTTTCAGCCCCGTAGCTTTTGTAAGCCTTGAGATGAAAAACCGTGACAGACGCAAACACAGGCACACAGACACACACACAGACAACCTCTCGTCAATATGCGTTTTTCGCATTGCATTGGTGCAAAAAACGCATAAGTAGTCTTTAGAAAGCGGTTTCCCACTATCAGTCGTATTTTCACTGCAACACGCTTGACTGAAAATTGCAAGGATGCAAAATTCCTTCATACTTACCGACGATTGATTTCAGAAATGTTTTTGATGGATCCAAAAAAGATGCTCTCTCTTTGATTAAGTGATCAACCAAAATTATTGAAGGCTGTTTAGATCGATCACAGAAACCAACCTTTTTCACAAGCACATCAGATAAATCATGAAACAAAGCGACATTTGTTCTCCAAAGATCTTGGCCAATACACTTAGAAAGTTTTACAGAAGACTGCAGCATCAAAGGGATTTTGCATCGGCGGAGAAGTAATAATCGTCCCTTTTCATAGGCGATGTTGTGCTTATTATTGAAAACCAACAAGTTTTGTAGCCTGCTAAGTGAGTTTGCGACCAGTGCAGAAAAACTGATCCCAATTCCATGGAGGAAAAGCCAAATAGATGATGAACGCGTTTCGTACCTGTTTCGACATGCGAATTGAGAATCAGTTCGTGGAGCTCCTGGACGGTTATGCCATCCTGAGATCAAAGGAAGAAGCTTTCATCAAGTTAATATAAGAAGCTTCTTCCAACGCTTGCATACCATTGACTATAAAAGCGGTACTTTCTCTCTACACTATTACTAGTTCTGTTAAATGGAAGTGCGTCATGGTATTGCACTTATGCTGAGAAGGGAAATTGGTGGTGACCTAACAAGCCATGGCACGACGTACTCTATGTGTCAGCAAGTTGCAGCGCATCGTCAGTGAATTACTGTACGTTAGTTTGACGTGAGCGATGCTTTCAAGGCAGTTTATACAAGGAAAGGGAGGAGCTGGTCAAGTGAAAGGAATGACAGAAGTAAATATCAAATGTCTCATGCATTGTTCAGTAAATACAGGAGGGACTGACATACGGGAAGTTCCACTTGAACGCCTTTGTGGAATTATGTGAATGAGAGGAGTTGCAGAATAGAGAAACAAAGTTGCCAGATGAATCTGGAGTGGGAAGAAACGCGATGAAAAAGTAGCTAGTCGGTATAACAAAGTGAAGTAATATACATTTCGTACTTATTTTCTGCTTGATTATCCTCCTCTTCAGGACCTCTTTCCCCGAGCCGTCCCTTCTTTCGAGGCGTTTTGTCACCGTCCACCAGCGGTACCGTTTGTTAGTATCGGTCGTTGTGCCAATTCCTTCTTGGTTCTCTTCACCAATGTTTGTTTTCTTTTCAGTTTTTACATTTTATTCGAATTTTATATTAAAATCATCCATCACCACAATGCACATAGACTTTTTTATCGGCGAATTTTAGAAAGGGAAGAAACTTGCACGATTCTAACGTGATTTTTGACAGGCAGCGTAATCAGACGTGAATTGCTACTGATAAAACTGGCAGGAAATGGTTCATGATTGAAATATCGGCGAAAAGTAGTTCTTTGAGCTAGCAAAAGTATTGCCATCTCCGATTCTTTTTACAAACAAAAATAAATAGCGGCACGCGCCAAGGTGGCCGGTGCGATCATGTGTTTTGCGCATTTCTGCCCAGCGAACATTTGTCTGCTAAGGATTTCCACTGTTTTGAACTTTGTTGTGTGCAAAAATAGTTGAAATGTTGTCTGATTCCTAAGTTGCGAAATTCCCACTAAGACCCTGGACGGGGAAAAAAACCATCCTTCCAGAATCAACCTCCTAATTCTCCGACTTTTGAGCGACTTTCGCATCAAAACTTTTACATGGCCGTGCGTGAGACCTCGGCATACTTGGGAACTAAATTTGAGTTTGTGTGGCCCCTGCATAGGCAGAAAACGTCCTCCTGAAATCTCCAGCCTCTTGCCTCTTCTAGCTTAAGAGTATAATTTATGCGCCAAAACATTCACAGGGACGTTGAGACGCAGGCGTTACGTGAAGGCTGAATTTGAATTCGACAGGGTCGTACGTGGTATATAGAGCAGGGGACAATACCATAAAATTTCAGCTCCTCAGCTTTCATGTTTCCCAAGACAATTTCCCCTCCCTGTCCCAAAACTTTCACAGGTCCGTACGTGGTACCCAAACTCAGGGAAAAGTTGAATTTTGAGTTACAGAGTTATACTTGGGCAGGGAACATTGCTGTAAAATTTCAGCTTCCTAGCTTTTGTAGTACCCGAGATAATAATTTATTCGCCAGAATTTCCGCGGGCTCGTAGGTAATATCTGAATGCATGGGGAGGCTGAATTTGAATTTGCGTGGTTGTACGTGGGTAGAGGTCATTACCCTAAAAGTTCAGCTTCACAGCTTTCATGGTCCCCGAGATAATTCCTCGCCAAAACTTCACGGGGTCGTACGCGGTACCCAAGGGCAGGGAAGGCTGGAATTAAATTTGCATGGTCACACTTGGGCAGGGATCACGACCTCAAATTTTCAGCTTCCTTGCTTTCATAGTTCCTGAGATAATAATTTTTCTCGCCAAAACTTTCTCTGAACAGTTTCCAAGCACGCGGGAAGGCTGCAGTTAAAGCTTCAGGGTCATACGTGGTCAGAGGTCATTTACCCTAAAATTCCAGCTTCCAAGGTTTCATAATTCCCAAGATAACTTCTCGCGCCAAAACTTTCACGGAACAGTACGTGGTACCCGGGGGCAAGGGAAGGCTGAAATTAAATTTGCAGTGTTACAACGTGAACGAGGAACATAACCCTGAAATTTCAGCTTCCTAGCTTTTGTGGTTTCCGAATTGAAAGTTGCGGACAAGATGCATCGGACACACACACACACAAACAAACAAATAATCTTGTGAAAATATGCGTTTTGTGCAGTTATTGCACAGCACAAAACTCATAATGATGACCACTGTTAAACTGCAGTATGTTGGGTTCCGCCATTTCGTACACGCCTGATGATGTTTTACTAGCGTCGTGGAAACAGAAGCTCATATTATTTCGTGGTGATGATCTACATTTGTATCTGCATACTGAGAGGCTCCTTAGGACTTGTAGCTAAATCGTTATAGCTGAAATGCCTCCTAGGTGCTGCAGCGAGGAATGCTGGGGCACGCTTCATTTCGCGTTACATCTTGGTTTTGCGAAAGAAAATGTTTTACTACAATGCTACATATTGTTCATTTTTAACTGGTTTGCCATTAATTTTCACGGTCTATACTTCTTGCCACTCAAACAATGTTTTTTGTTACCCAGCAGCTTACCTTTTTCTGCGTACTACTAGCAGTTGCTGATTTGCACACTTGCCATGTTTCAGTACTCTTCACTTCCTCACACGAGTCAAATTTCGTGGATGAACTGTTATACTTTTTGTGAACATGCTTTTATGCTACTCACTATGTAGACGCATAAATTTTGCTTTTTTGTCTTGAGTTTAATCATTGTTTCATCTAGTAGACGGTGTTTGTGGAAGAGTTGTGATGGAGCACGGATATTTCAGATCACTGCGTATAGCTCGATTTACGGAATGGCGTTACTGTGCACAATTGTCGGTAGCATTCGCTCCCTTTATTTTGTCCAGAAACATATTCGTAAAAAGCGACTCATTGAAACATCAATAACTGTTAATGAAGCCAAGAAATTTCCGCTAACAGCATCCTGTGTACTTTTTGGACTTTACGTGTTTTTCAAGTACGTTCTTTAATGTTTCCGCAGATTTTCAGTGCGGCAAATCAAAATAAATAACGAAGAGCACCAGGGTAGCTGGTACGATCATGCGCTTTGCGCATTTTCGTCCAGCGGACGTCTGCTTACTAAAAATATAACTGTTTTACACTTTCGTATATCGAAAAATAGTAGATATGCTGCCTGACTCCTAAGGTGAGGAATTTTCCACTGAATTTCTCAAGTGCCGGTACGTGAAAGTTGAATTTGAAAGCATGGATAGACGAAATCCTTTCAGATTTCAACTTTCTAGTTTTCCGGTTCCGAGCTCATGACTTTCACTTCAGAATTCTCACGTGGTCTTACTTAAGACCTCTGCATACTTGGGAGCTAAAATTGAGTTTTTGAGATATCTCCAACGGCAGAAAATATCGTCTTTCAGCTTTCTAGCTTTTATGGTTCCCGGGATGATTTTCTGCCAAAACTTTCACAGGGCTATACGCGATACCCAAGCGCACGGGAAAACTGAATTTAAATTTTCTGGGTTGCACGTAGTCAAGGGGCATACGCATAAAATTTCAGCTCCCTAGCCTCCGCGGTTTTTGAGACAATGATTTTACTTGCCAAAACTTTCACGAGGCTGTACGTGTTACCCGTAGGCACGGGATGGTTGAATTTAAATTTTCAGTGTCGTGGGCAACGGGCATACCTCACAGAATCTTAGTTTTCTAGCTTCCCTGGTTTACAAGATAATGATTTTACCTGCCGAAACTTTTACGAGACCGTACGTGTTGTCCGCGGGTACGGGAAGGCTGAATTTAACTTTGCCGCGTCACAGGTTGGCGGGGAACAAAATACTAAAATTTCAGCCGCCTAGCTTTTGTGGTTCCCGAACTGAAAATGCGGAGCATACACAGAGACAACCCCGTGACAATATGCGTTTTGTACTGCTGTTACACAGCACAAAACGCGTAATCAGACTGAGTCTCCTTGTTATTCGAGAAGGCTTTCATCTTTGTGTTTTCATTTTTTATTTGTGCTCACGTTTTTAAAAATTTAAGGTGTAACAAGGAGTGTCGGCAAAAAATGTGCACAGCAGCAAGTGCGTATTTGCCGCACCAGTTGGTGTCACGTTTGGAAACGCTTTTTTCGATCACGAAAGCGACAAATATGTCTGTTGCTGCTGAGGAGGCTTCGAAAACACTGCTTCAAAAAGCTTTCAGTTTCTTGCCGCTCATCAATGTAGAGAATGTAATGTACCTGATTCTGGTCCTGTTGTGCTGGGAGGGTAAGTGTATTGAGTGAAGTGAATATCATTTTTGAATTCACTTTGACTGGTCCAACGGATTCTGTGAATGTTTCGTTTTTCCAGGCTGCGTTGCACTTGCGGCAATACTGAAGCCAGTTTTTTCGTTTTTTCTTCGGTTACTTCCTATTGGAGACCATCAGCCGCGCATAAATTATCCGTATTTGTGGACTTTGAAAAAGGGCAAAAGAGAGATGGAAGAAGGTGATATCGAAAAAGCTGCTAATGATGACTATGTGAGTAGTAAACTCAGAAAATTTCGAATTTTCTTATGGTGAATCAATAGCTCCCGTAAAATTTCTTGTCATTGTTTTCGATATATTTCCTTAAGAAGACTAAGAGTGTGACATTTTATAACAAAATGCATGGCTAGTGACAGATGGGTGTCACTCTGGAAACAGCGTTCCACCAAAGCCGCCTGGGCCTCGATGCAGTTTTGATTTTGCCGCAAAGCAGTCACACGTTAACGCAGCAGCTGCCTTCAGCTGTCCGTCTTCAGTCTGTACTCATTGTCTGTGCAGCATTTGTGTGCCAGCAATTCACATTCCATTCCAGTGGCCGTTTTTGTTTCCTGTGGTCCTGCCCAATAGGTTGTACCGTAGTTTGTGCTGTAGTGACCGTCTGCAATATGTTCATAATAGTTTAATCAGTGCCTTTTTCGTGTCCCTTCCCACTGCAGTAAGCTTGTGTTCCTGGACTGCTGTTGTAAGTAATCCATCCTTGTATGCACATCGAGGCTTTCGTCATTCCAGCAGTAAAGAAGCGGGCCCGGTTTCTTTGTTTCATCACACTGAGTGGTGCAAACGCAGTCCTGTTCGTCTGCGTTTTATGTCCGGTTTACGCATATTCACTTTCTGGTCCGGCTGGACGTAACTGCCCAGTTCTTGCAGATCTGCACTGTTTGTTTGCAAAATGCATAGTCATTCATAAGTTCCATCTCTTTCGATGCATTCAGGGTTTACTTCCCGGGAGCTAGAACTGCTGCTGTATCACAGTTGATTTCCGTTTTACAAAAAGAACTGTAGCTTTTGAAACACTTTATTCGGTTTTTTGCCATTGGTGCGCAAGCCGGTTTAGGTCACAGGACGCATCTCGCAACGAGCAGTGGGAAAATTTAGGCATTCGAAGGTCACCCTGTTCATGTCTCATGAGTAATGAGCCATGTTTTGTTTTTTCGGTCGTTATTTTTAATTTTTAGGAGTATGTTGTCAAGGTGGAGTGGGACTGTCATGATATCATCGCTATTGTTTGCTGCCTTTGTGTTGGCGCATCACATCTATACAAAAGGCATTGGATAACGAATGATTTACTTGGTATTGCTTTTTCCATATACGGAATCGAGAACATTCATTTATGCAGTTTCAAGGTAAGCGTGCGATCGTTCAGCTTCTTTCACAAACTGCAGTATCCCTTCGAATGCTCTGTTGGAAATGTATTTTAGGCGGGGACAATGTTACTGGCTGGTCTGTTTATTTATGACGTCTTCTGGGTGTTCGCTACTGATGTGATGACAACGGTCGCCAAGGGGATTGATGCTCCAATACTGCTTCAGTTTCCGCAGGATATATACCGCAATGGGCTGCACAGTGCTGGCAAACACGCTATGCTTGGTATGATGCTGATTCTAGAAATTATGCAGCAGTTGAGACTCACAAAATTGCTTTTATGTCAGTTGGTCATTGTGGGTTTGTGATTGTAATATAATACAAAATTTTCGTCCGCCATCTTTAAGATCGTATAATTTGGTGAAGTTCCAGTCGGAATGAGCAGCATGTTAATTTGTCGTTACATTTCGTGCTGAGAAACTTATCTCGTGCGTGAAAATCTAAAAATTGGCATGAGAGTCTAGCTTTGTATGAGCTTTTTTAGGTTTTGGCTTGGAAAGTTTTTTTACTTAAATAGATTTGGAAAAGTGTGTGCAGAAGTTGATTTGCCGACAGATGTCTTTTGATTTAACTGAAAACTGCATCAAAAAAGTGGTCGAAATGAGAGCGGGAGTCCAGGTATTGTTCTCTGCAGCTGTCGCTGTACTTCCCTTTATGCTACGTCTGCCCGGATTTTTAATTCGTTAAAGTGTCTTTCATTGATAAAGTGTAAGCATTGTTTAACCACCGATCTGAATCCGAGACTGGAAATTTACACATCGAGCTGCTTGTAGGCTTGGGCGATATCGTGGTACCAGGGATATTTATCGCTTTACTTCGTCGATTCGATCATCATATTGGCTCAGGAGGTAGACCTGAGAAACCACGGCATTACTTCCTTATAACGATATTGGCTTACGCTCTGGGCTTGTTGATCACAATGGGTGTTATGCACTTTTTCAAAGTCGGTTGCATTGCATTCTTTTCAGAACTGCTCAGTATTGCGAGTGTTTCGATTATGACAAAATCTCTTGAATTTTGCCTCTGCATGTGTTAGGTACACCGTGACTGTTCTGATATAGAATATATATTGCGGAAAGGAGTCCACTGAGCAGTTTTATAGGCGGCACAGCCAGCGCTGCTTTATTTGGTGCCTACATGTATATTGGTTCCGCTTCTGGTTGCCCGCATTCGTGGAGAAGCAGGCGAGATGTTCAATTATTGCGAAGAGCATCTGATTGAGAACAGAAGTCGAAAAGCAACAGTCGCAAAAGAATCGAAGAAATTGGACTAATTTATCAGACTGTTAAAGTTTTATTTTTTCTGTTGCCTAACCAAAAATTTTTATTTTGGCTTTGTCCTGGTTTTTTTTTTTTTTTTTTTTTTTTTAAGTGCTGCTTTCTCGTTATTTTTGTGCCGCTCTCCGTGCTTTGGTGCTGGCTGGGTTGCTTGCTTGAGCCGCTGACTGGCCGCTTATTTAAAAGTTTTTGGGACGAAAGTTTAAAAATGACTGCAAAAGCTTTTAAGAATATAAATCTACAGGCATGTTGTGACTCTTACACTGATATGCGCTATAGACGGGTTATCTGAAAGTGTTTGCATGAGTAGCGTTAGCGGCAGTTTTTGTTTCAAATGTTAGCTTAGTGCAAAAAGAATCTTATGACTAGTAGCATAAGACTGCAGGAAGTAGCAACAGGACATTGTGAAATTTTGTGTGTCACTTAAAATATGGCGATACGCTAAATACAGCTGTTTATTATCGGTAGCACTTGAAAAAACATGGAAAGCGTGCACATTTGTTTGCATATTAGTGGCAGTATTCTGATTTTTATTTGTTCATTTCGATGGTCTGTGATGTGTCGCCACTTTGACAGGATGGGACTTACTTATGCTTCAGTGAGTATCAAAAGTTGCCTACTGAACTGATAAGAACCGAATTTGCTGATTTTTTAAAACTGTAAAAAAACACTGGTCATTCTTGATTGGATTTGGACTGTCCGTTTTTCTGTATAACTTGTCGTTATGGTCTATCGCGTACCAGTGATACTGCTACACTCCGAGTTTTCCAGCTTTTTTTGTGCTAATAGCTACGTAGGACGATTTAGTTCCTCCACTTTTGTTGGCTGCTTGTTTTACCCTGTTCATCGCAACATATCATCATTTCATACGGTTCACAGGGATTCTGAATTTCATATTGGCTGCTTTTTCGACTGCGGTTTTCTAATGATGTTTGGCCGGTTACTCCGTATGCTGCTTCTTTGGCGTCTCTCAGCGTTGACAAAACCGATGTAGATGGTAGGGTGGGGATTTTTGTGAAATGAGTGCATCAGTGACCATTTGACACAAAGTTAATGGGGCGCAGACATTTTGGGCTTGAAGAAATCGGTTCTCCTTCCTACCAGTCTTTTCTCATTCTTTGGGTTTTTTAAACTTGTTGAACAATAAAATGTCCGTGTGAACATCATGCATCCACAGAACGGTAAAAAAACAAAAAGAAATAGGATTGGTAGGGGCGACAGTATTTCGTAAAAGAGGCGATGAAGGGTAAATAAGGACGAGTTGAACACGGTTAGGTTTACTCTTTCGAAAAATCTGTGACTTCTTTTAAGAGCGTACAAGTAAAGAGAACATTAAGAGAGCGTACAAGTAAAGAGAAGAGAATGACCAGGGTTTACAAATGGCCGTTTGTTTATACGAGGCATAGTGAGGGAATCAAAACGCCGCTCGTAGCGAATATCAGGAAGTTGCAGCAGATTTATAAATTGTAACTGTAGTCTGGTGACGGCGTGCGACAAAGACACGGCCACCGAGGATAGGGGGCAGAAGTTGGACAAACTGGATTGTTGGGACTCTTACAGCGACAAGTCAGCACTTTTAAGCCCCAAATTAGGACAGAAAGATCCGCTTGAATGCCCGCTTGGAGATAAATGGGAAGTAGCGTGGAGAATTATGGTTGCCAACGGCGGCAGCGACGAAAAGGGGGGAAGGAAAACTGTCCGAAGTGCTGCTGTCCAAGATGTCGAATTTTATGGAGACAACGTGCAGTCTGGAATTCGAACTCAAGCTAGCTGTTTTGAGTCTGCGGTATGGGTTTCACCACAGATGAGACTAGTAATCTGATACTAATTCACCTGTTTCTTGCTTTCTGACCAATGGCCTCAGTCATAAACCGAGTTGTTTGCGAGTCTGTTTTCCAGCCCTACAGATTTGCATTTTCAGGACTGTCATCATATGTCATGCAGTAGGCCTCTTCAAGTTGAAATTCTATCCCTCACGGTTTACCGTCACAGAATCAGCTGGGAAACATTCCTAGGAAAGTAATCATCCCGAAAGACCGTTACCGTTTCTAGAAGCCATATGGCTGGTAACCCATACCATGCCGCTCTTACTTTCATCATTTTGTTCGTTGCTTTCCTTTGTCCTGCTCTTGGCCTTATTTTGCCCCAGTGATCCGGTCGACTTAGTGAACGACAAATCATAATTCACTCCATGTTAAAAGCCGAAATCCATTTCGTATCCACTTGCTGTAAAAACCATAGACAGTCCCAAATAGTTCCCGCTAGCACATACCAATATCAACCAAATAGTGGCATGATTGCCTTCCTTCAAGTGTTTGTAAGCAAACTGATGGCATTTTTTGACTATGCCAGTACCAGCTTACTGTCGAAACGAATGAACGGGCCGCAGGAAGACCGGTTATTCCAATGGCAGAGGCGAACCCTCAACTTACAGCACCAGAGAACTGCTATTTGCCTCTGCATCAAACCAACCAAAACCTGCCGCGCTGGTGGTTTGGCGTGTATTATTGCGAAACTGTGTAGTTGTATTTGTCGCGATAGTTCAACTCTGTTTGACCTCAGAAACCTTCGGAAATATCATGCTCGGCTAATGTACGGGATCTCAAGAGATGAAAACAACTTCCACTTCCTCCCCACACCTGCAAGCAGCATTTAATTCGTCCCTACAAGTTTTCATTCCAGTCTAAAACTGCATATTACCATTCGACAAGCAGGCCGAAGACCAGTCATGATGAGGTAAAAAGAACTGTATGTTTTGCCCCAATGCGAGCCAGCAACAGTGCACTGTAAAAACGCATTGTGCACCGTCCCACATGTTCGCGGCACTATTCGCCCTGTTCCCTTTCTCGTTTTCATTGGCTCATTTATTTCCTTTTGGGTACAGTAATTTTGCACTTCGGCGAAATCCTCGCTTTTGTTCGCGCATATCCCCACCTCTTCGCCCTTCCCCTTCTCCCGACCTTCAGCTCAAAAGACAGAAGCGCCCCCGTTTTATACGTTGTGTTACCTGACCGGCAGAAAAACTTTTTCAGTCATGAGAAATCAGAATCTCAAATACTTCACAAAGGTAGCTCACTTCAGCAGCAATGCGACAGGAGATAAGCGGTAAGGAGAATCGAAGCACCGGTAGCACTGCTTGCACTTTTCTCCGCAGGAAGCGTGTGCAACCAATATTAATACTGTCGATTTACCTGGTTTTTGCCTGAAAACTCCCCCATCTGCTTTCGTCTCACCCCCTTCCATAGAGTACGACTGCCTGGGCTCGACCAGTGAGTTAGCTAGATTGAAGTATATGAGGCAGTGGTACACAGCAGGTTCCTAGCGTGGTCTCCACGGGCAATTGTGCATATCCAACTGCTGAATGACCTCTTAATGGACTTTACGCACAGAAGGTGCCAGAGTCCGGAGCTCACTCCTGTCCGCTCAACAGTTTTAATATTGTCAGTACCTGTCCAGGTGTAATCAGAAGAAAAAATGACCCCATGGCTGACCATGTGTCATTCAATCGACGCCTGAGCAGTCATCTAAAATGCCAAAACTTCGAGTATTTCGCATCCTCGCCTTCGGGAATAAAAAAATAGCATGAACTTCCAGTCAGAGGCCAGGATACGACAAGAATTGAAGGCGGTTTTTAGGATGTTTAAACCGAATGAAGAACCTAACTCCTAAATCCCAGTTTGTAATTTTCCAAGTTAATTCGTCAAAGCCATCCCAGCAAATCTGACCCAAGCCCAGTCCTGCGAAACTCACTGTGCGAAGCGTATGCAAAATTTGAAGGAAAGGCAGATAGGATCTGAATTTTATTCAAGAATACATGCTGATCAATTTGTGATACGGTCCCGAACACGCACTGGTGTTGCTGCTGTTGGCGCACGGCGCTGTTGGTGGTGCCGCTGATTATGATGATGGTCTGCGGGTCCCATACGGATACACATGCACACCATTGGCTATTGTTATTATCATGAGGAAAATTAGATGTCAAAACGGGTCCCTCGCCATAATGTGTCTTTCGTTCTCCTCTTCCCTCTTCTCCACATCCCAGTTCCAGGAAGAGATAACAGAGAGACGGAAACAGTATACGCGAGCCCACACCCACAGCACCCCCAGGGCCGTGCTCCTAAGATATGATATGTGACAAGCAGTGGGAGAGTAGAGTGAGTGACTAAAATGAGGCAATGTCACTGTGACCACCACCACAACCTCGCTATCAGAGCCTTGCTTCCCTATGAATGAGAAGAGGCGGAGGGAACAGAGGAGGGAAGAGTGAACCGCAGGGCCGTGCAGGAGGGAGATGGACAAAGGTTAGCTGCTGTTGCTGCTGCTGTGAAAGCGCCGCCGAGGCCATTTCCAAACAATAGACAAGGAGAACCAGGAGCTTTTCAAGAATGAATTGTCACGAAGGAAGGACTGGAACAACAGGCTGTGCCGAGGACGACACAGGACCTTCCTTCCTCCTCTCTTCCCACCATTATCACCCCTCATTCCCCCATCCCACAGTAGCCACCGTTTAACAACTCCTCTCCCTTTACAAACGCGGTGCTGTCAAAATGCATATCAGCAACAGCAGCAATACCCCTCTCCCCGTATTCCGCGGTATGCACAAACTCAGATCTCAGATTGAGGACAGTAACAATGAAGCCACGAGAGCGTACACTGCGCTGCACCAAAATCAACCATTGGGGACGGAAAAAGAGCTCAGTAAACGACCAACCAACCACTCGGCCGAGCATCGCATACTGTATACACACATAAACACAAACATACATATTACACAACACACACACACATATACGCACTACACATACACACCACACACACACACACATACACACACCACATACACGTACCACGCACACACATACACACACCACGCACACACACACACCACACACATGCCACACGCACAGCACACGTCACACACATACATACACACCACAGGTCACACACATACACACACATCACACGTCACACAGATACATACACATCACACGTCACACACGTACATACACACCACGCACACACATACACACACCACACACACAGTCACCACACGCACAGTACACGTCACACACATACATACACACCACACGTCACACACATACATACACACCACACATACATACGCACCACACACACACATACATACACACCACACGCACACACACACACACACACACATACACGCCACACACACATGCACACCACACACACATACCACACACATACGTACACACCACACACACATACACGCCACATACACACCACACACACACATACACACCACACACACATCACATACACACCACACACACATCACACACACACCACACACACATACACACCACACACACATACACACCACACACACACATACACACCACACACACACACATACACACCACACACACACACACATACACACCACACACACACATACACACCACACACACACACATACACACCACACACACACATATACACCACACACACATACACACCACACACACATCACATACACACCACACACACACACGATACAGACAGACAATGCGAGGTACCGAGTGACCTAATTGAAGACGGAATTGGGGTCCAACACTCTCCCTATTGAAATCGCCGTGCAGCCACTGAATACACCACTAACAATAGAAAGCACAAACGCATTTGCCTTAACAGTTCGCCGCTGTGAGGTAAATCGTATCAACTGCATTTTAGAATGATAACAGCAACGGCACTGGTCCAAAACTCATTTTTGCTGGCTACTCATTTCCACTTACAAAACGCGGGCGACAAGTGCGCAGCCTCGAGCCACAGCACATACCTATACTTCAAAAGAAACAGAATATCATTCTCCGCCTTCCCCCAGACGCCAAACTTTCTAACCAGTATCTGCCCACCAATAAGAACTCTGTTGCCTCTGACACTCTCCTGATGAGGTCGCTTGAAACCAGTCTCAACTGGTTTTCTTGTAACCTTAATTTCGATTCCATCAGAAGCTGCTGAAACCGCCACATCAGTTACTATGGGAATAAACCGCCACATCAGCCACATCAGTTACTATCAGTTACTATGTCTATTCTTCCACGGCTTACTTTTTGGACCAGCTCCTTTCTACAGGAAAAAGAAACAAACGATTGCATGATAATATCACGATAATATTCGGAGAAAGAGGAAAACTGCTTGCACCATAATGGCATATTATGCGCGCGTTTCACTGCTTGCATTCAAACACAAACGAAACAAGGAAACGAATTATGCAAAGGAGCACAGGAAGCAATAAATTATGCCTCTTCTGGAATAACAGATGAAATGAATATTTTCGAAAAGTTCGACTGAGAACAATTGGTGTGTAAGAGAAGCATGCTATACCAACCAACCAACCAAACAAGAATTAAAAGAAAGAAAAATGCTATTTGTGGAATGAAAATACAGACGAAGTGAATAAAAGACACATGCATACACACATATACACACACACACACACACATATAAACACACATACACACACTGACAGGAAAAAAAAATCAAATACAAAAAAGAAGTGATTTGGAAATGAAAAGTAAAGCTCGATAATGAATTATGCAAAAGAGAAACACAACGGTCTGGAAGTAAGAGATTGATTGTTATGCATCGGTTGAAAGAGAGTAAAAGCTGCGGAACGAGAGCAAAGAAAGCTACAAACAAAAGCACAACATATTAAAGCAATCTCTTGAAAATCCTTAAAAATGAATGAGAGAACCCGGCTGGTCGCAGCTGTGTATAACAAAAGTGACTGCTCAAAAAAACTGGAAGACATGTGAAAAAACAATGAGAGAGAACATGCTGCTGCAATGAACAGAAGTTGCAAGCGAATGTGTCACTAGTCAACCGCCCATGGGCGCTCGCTGCTCTTCCCTTTCCACTGCTTTCAACCAGTTACTAAATCCGGCATTTCATCAACTGGTGGTTTGTCTGATTCGACAAACCTCCTTCCAAACAAGCCTCGCTCTCAGCCCCGGAATAGTACAGTGCAACTCCTTACAATAATATGTACATAAGTGAGTATCAAAGAGAGACAGAGGGAAGGAAACAGAGAGATGGCTTGAAAAAAGGAAACTGTCGCTGTGCAAACCTCGCCAATACTCAATTCAGGACGCGCGCTGGCGCAGGGAAGCACTTTCTACATTCGAAATAAATGCTAGATAATTTAAAAAATAAATGAACAATATGGAGCTGCTAAATCATTTAAAAACTGAGTAAACCATAAACAAGCAAACGAAAATATGAAATATATATGGACAGCGTGCTGTTGTAGTTTTAGGCGCACTAGTTGTTGCCTGGTCAAGTTGATGTTGTCTGGTTATTCGCTAACGCATTTTGGTGGTCAAATAATGACTGACCGATGCTGGCCCCTTGCAACGTGTTGTGCTGCTGCTGCTGCTGTTCCAGAATTGCGAACGTGGCGGCAGCCGACGGTGAGATGGAAATCAGTGAAGAGAGAACGGACTGTGGACTGGGTGGAACGGCCTCCTCCTCTTTGACACGGCGTCTAAATCGCTGCTGAATAATATCCTTTCGCATGTGCACTGGTCGATTAGTCTGCAACACAATGCATTTATGAATTCTGGCAGCTCAAAATAAGAGGCATGCATTTTGCCCTCGCGCTGACTTGCAAAAACAATGCACTTGGCCGAAAAGCATTCTGAAATTTCTCAGTAACTAAAATTACTACGATGAATGATTAGCAATCACAGGAAATCGGAAAATTCGAACTGGCGGCCACTCACGAAACGGCTAACTCTCAGTAACCAAGAAAAAAAAAAGAAATGGGAAACAGATGAATGGCCGTCAGCTGCGCAAGGACAAATCGCTGATTGAACGGAAATAATTTCGAGATAATACATGAAAACGAACTCTGTGTAAGCGATAATAAAGGCCGCACGCATTGCACACTAATTTACCGCTCTGATCACGCCTCCAAGCAGTCGTCTTTGTCGTTAAACAGTTACTACATCGCGACATCGAGGGGGCACTGTTATTACTGCTGCTGTTGTTATTTGCTTCTTCCTCCTCCTGAGAAACATATTTTATAGACAGCAAAAATGGAAGTCACATGTTACTTTCAAAAAGCACAAATGTCAACTTCGAACAACTCATTTCCAAACGGAAAGGACTAACGCATAGGGATCTATCCAACAGCGCAAAAGAAACTGGAGGCGCTAAGGCTTTCGTCCAATGTTTTTCCGAAATATGGCATGATAACTAGATGAAAATGACCACCAGGTAACCCCACTACCTCTTCCGCAGAATTCATCTCACCTCAACAGCAAGATCACTGATTCCATCCTCCATGCTATTTGGAGTCGAAGAGACCGGTGGATCAATGGTTGCTGATTGCTGACATAGCATCGATATGATACTTTGCTGTGCTGATGCGCCCGTTCCACCACCGGCCATCAAATTTGCCGCCAGAGAAAATGAATCAAAAAGTGTCGCCGGATAGATGAAGTTTTCCATACTTATCGGCGACTCGACAGCTTTGTGATGCGATAAAGCCGCTTCCTGCAACAAGGATGCTCCTTACCAATGAAGGAAAATGAAGACTGCTGTAAGTCGCGTACGGCGCCAATCCTCTCAATTTAGTCTTACAATGCACGCATCCACTTCTACGGCCAACCGCATGCAGCCTAACAAAATCAGTTCATAAATTTAAACGCACAACTTACAATGTTGTTTTGCCGGAAGTACAAGGCCCAAATACGTTCACAAGACAACAAGACTATGACACTACCACCCATTTTCGAGGATGGATTACGGGAGTAAATTTAACTTGCAGTAGGCTTCGACTTTTTTACACGAAACAAGCAGTTGCATTATGTTCTTAACAATTTCTACCAAACTTTCAGCCACAGTCCCACGTCCCCCTCCAAAAAAAAAAAATCATAAAACAATATTATAAAGAAATGCTGATTTCACGTCCAGAAGAGTTTATTATTTAAATTAACCAACGAACTGCAAAAACTTAAAAGATTTGCCCCAAACCTAAGGGCCGGAAATGCACGCTATAAGCCCTGTATTTTGTGGCCAATATTACGTAGAATATGTCGTACAAAAACGAACAACCTTCTCAACTCTGTGCACTGCTCTTCTGTTTGGCTTCCGCTTTCGACTGCCACTTAATACATGATTATGAGCACCATTGGGCACCACCTCACTGCAAATGCAAAACTGCAAGCTTTTTGTTAAATAACTTACACCCAAACTGTTTAAGCAGGCCAACTTTTGGCACTCTTAAACGCAGTCACTCACTTTTTTTAACACAGTTCAGCATTTCCAAATCAATTTCAAAGCTTCTGGAATAATTTTCTGTACATATATTCTGTTTAATGAATGGTAATTCGAGATGCAGTCTGCCAGAATTTGCGCAAACTTTAAGTTCAAGCACCTAACTTTTGTTTTGCTTGAAGCTGCGCCTA